TGGTGTTAGTCACTCAATTCCCTGGTGAGTGAATTTGTAGCTAAATTCCAAGGTCCTTGATTTATCATTGAGACATATCATTGTACCATGACCCATTAGACATCTGCCTATGCTATTCTCTCTCCCCGGAACCATCTTTATTTGAGCCTTATCTAATGGGATGCCTCTTACTCACTCTTTAACATTCATCTCATGAGTCATCTCTTCTATATAGCCATTATTAATATCTCCAGTCTATGTAAGATTCACTTCTTCTTGGCCCCTATAGGATCATTTGTCTATCTCCAACATAGCACAACTCACTCTATACACAATGGGTTCCCCATTTTTCTCTGTGAATATGGTAGTCGTGGGCTTGGTACCCACATAGCCTAGCACAGTGGTTGGCACATAGTATGTTCTCAGTAAATGGCTGTTAAATGAATAAACATATCAAAAAGCATGTATTAAACTACAACTGGTTACCACAGACTCTGCTAACCTTATGGAAGATACTAGTGCAAAGATATATAGGATATGGACCCTGCCTCAATAACTTTTCCATCAAGTGGAGAAAGAATTCATGAATATATGTAAAGATGCATAGTAAATGTAAAATCCCCAATGAATACCATGGCCATTAAGTCTGACTGGAGTCCAAAGGAAAGAGATACTGCTGTTGCTTAGAGAAAAATATGGGCATCGTTTAAATGTGTTTCAATTTAGGACATGTTGAGAAAGGTAATAACCCAAATTTCTTTCTTAACCTTATTTTCTCAGTCCATAAATACTTTCTCAGATATATATTAGGAAGCTTTCAATAATCTCCACTATCCAATTGACTCTCAAATTAAGACAGAACTGATATTTGAGAAACAGGAAGAACTAGATAAGCAGAGAATATTTTGAGAGGAAACTCTAATGGAAGAGAGTATGATTACAAAACTTGAGAAATCAACTGTATTAAGTACACTCTTGGAACATGGAGCAATGAGCCTCCCTGAATGATCTCATAGAATAAAAAAATAGCTCTCTGTGTTGCAAAGTTCCTGTGATAGATGCCTTGGGTCTGAAAGCCAGACTACATTTGATTTTACTAAGATTTCACATGTATTAGAGGGGAATACCAAGGCATCTCAGGCTAAAAATTAACCAAGCCAAGAATGGTTGTGCTAAGATGATTCCTAACTCTCACATCTTCATAGCTTGGATGGTCCTTGGACTCCTGGGATCACCCAGGGGTCAGTGGACACAAGCTGAGCCATTGAAGCATTTGCTAGCACAGAACACAATGGCCATTTGCATGCTCTCGATATCCTATTGCACCAGTTTCTGTAACAAAACCTGGTTTAGCATTAAATACTTGCTCGAGTGATGTCTCCTCTAAAAATATAAAGACGTAAAGAACAATACCTACCTTGTCTCTAAATCTGTTCTTATAAAATTAGCTGCTATTTTGGTGGTCCATATTTATATATTTTTAAATAATAATTGAACTAACCCTTTCCAGGAAACAAAGTCCGACTCTTTCTGGAGCATCAATGCAATTTTCCAGACTGCTCATGAAAAGGCTATGAAAATTTCAGAGAAAAAAATAACATGTTTATGGGAAATAAATTGGTAAATAACCCTTTAAATAATATCATGAAAAATAAAATTCAATTCAGTAATTACATACTTGCTATGGAATTCATATATTTCTGCCATATTTCCAAAGAGAACATCTTTTTTATTTCTCAGGAGAGGTGGCATAAGATCAAACATCTCTGGATTATCCATCTCTGCTTTATAGCCCTACCCAAAATAAAAACATTTATTCAGTTAAAAAAAAAATTTACATTAACAGTTGATTGGCCCACCAAAGGTGTATGTACAACAAAATGTATAGGGGATTAGTGGGTGAAGCTGCTTGTAATTTTAACATTAAACCTTCTATTTCCCAAAACTATACATTATCATTATTTTTTAGAAAGTAGGACAGGGAAGTGAAGGTTTTCTACTCAATGGATAAAATAAAATGATAGCTCATTGGCCTTCAGGGTACTTTATAGTATAGGGAACAAAATAGAAACTAAGTACGAAAAATTATATTACAGGTCATTAACTTCTACTTACGCTAGCAATAAGTGTTTAGGTTTTTCAGACCAAATTCATACTTTGACACTTGTATGAAATGAATGTTTTTCTCCCATTTTTAGATCTTTATATCACAATCTCTAAATAGTACCATGGGAATAATTAGAACCATCTGCTGTATCACTAAGAGAACAGCTTCTCTCCTCTATAATACATTCTGAATCCACAATTCTTACTCCTGAGGGAGAACCTAAATACACACATCTGACAAACATGCAGTCTCAAGCCATATCAGAAATACCCACTGCTGCCATGTGACAATCAAGGAAGTATGTGGGAAGAGAAGACTGCCCTAAACACTTCCTAACAGATGTAGCAGGGGAGCATTCAGGAAAAGATGGGAAAATACAATTTGACGCCCTTACCAACAAAACAGTAAACAGCTCGCGAACATAAATCTTCTCAGTCTGTATTAGCTCATTTAGGACATGGCTAAAATGAAAAGATCATATTTATCAATTATTTTATTGTTTTAGAATTGCATTGCAATATTTCAGTTATCATTATAAATTGTCTAATGTAAAAATTGTTAATCACAGGAACTACCAATAGTTTTGGTTTCATTATCAAAATGTAAAATCAATTCTATGGTTTCTAGAATAAGTACCACCACAAGATTCTAAAATATATTTAAAAGAATGGGGAGCAGTGCTCAGGACTTATTTTTAAATGGGAAAAAAAAAGAAACACCTTTATTTCTAACTCACTAAGTTTAAGAATCAATTTACTAAAACCTCACAAACTCTAATCCCCAAAATCTGGGAAATACTTTTGGGGAGGGGGGCAACACAGTTTCTTAGTTATAGTTCCCTCTCTATCTCCCTCTCCCTCAAAAAGAAAATTAGAATTTTAGGCATAATTTTTCCTTTTTCCCAGTAATGTGCTGATATTTTTCAAGACATTAAGTGGATTTATTATACTGGGTTTCCCAAGTATAAATCATACTTAAGCTTCTGTAGTAATTTTGATTACTAGCACTTTATAATAAAACTAGAGGCCCAATGCACGAAATTCGTGCAAGAGTAGGCCATTCTTCTCCTGGCTGCCAGCACCAGCTTCCCTCTGGCCACCAGCAGGCAGCCGGACCCGCAGCCCTGGCTTTGTCTGGAAGGTCAAATTAGCATATTATGCTTTTATTATTATTGATACATTTTCCTTCCAAAGCAATTTACAATTGACATTGTATTTAAAATTTGTTCCCTCACTCCCCACTATAAGTAATCCTTTTAATTTAATTTCTATCTTTATCCCCTTTTTCATTTTTTACCTTTTAATCATTAACCTTTAAAAATCTTTAATACACATACACACACACAGGGTGGGGCAAACGTAGGTTTACAGTTGTTAATATGGAAAATAATTCAATCAATAAATAATAATATAAGCACAAACTCTGTGTTTTATGTACTCACAACTATAAACTTACTTTTGCCCCACCCTGTATGTGTCTAAATATAACTTGCTCTAAATACTGGCTACTTACAACTCTATGATATAAAATTTAAAAGGTGAATATACTCATCTCTGGAATGTTAACAGAATACTATAAAAGTGAATGAAACAATGATTATTATTAACATGTACAAAATAACATTGTATATATACATAATCCTTAGTACTTTTTGGAACACTGTCCCATTCACTCTCGCCTCATTTACAAAAGAGGATACTAATATTCTGTAAAGGTCTAGTTAATTTTCAAGTCACATAAACAGAGCATATGTTAACCAGGTCTAAATGCAAGACTTTTGATATTTCATCTAGTGTTCTTTTCATCAAATCTTGTATAACTCCATACTGTGAACTCAAAATCCCAAACATGTTCGCCTTGGACACTGAATCAGTGACTCCTACAAGTAGATATATATATGTCTGTTAATAAATTAAAAAATACTTCTTTAAAACATCCAAGGTATTGTTATTGTTCAAGCTGGAGGATGGACCAGAACTTCTCTTCTCCAGACAATCATGCACCACTTCAATCTGAAATGATGAAAGTAAGTTAAATTAGCATCTAAGTAGGCATAGTTCTTGTTCAAAAAAATCTGGCTCAAATTAAGTTTTCTCTAGGTCCAAACTGTGTAGATAAATTGAAAAATAACCCTATGATTATTTGTTCTTTCAGATATAACTCTGATATGTACTATTAAAAAAAACATTTGAGTTGCCTAAGAGGGCAGATTTAAGATAATAATTAGAATTTGCTTTATATGTTAAGTAATGTTTCATTTACTTGTCACTTTGGGGAAATGAGGTTAATTCATAAAAAGCTTATTGTGCAAATAACTAAAGTTTATTCACTGAAGAACCAAAATGGCTTGTCAACCTTAATGTTTTTTAAAGATTTTTTTTTTAGAAAGGAGAGAGAGAGAGAGAGAGAGAGAGATCCACTTCCTCCTGCATGCCCCCTAGTGGGAGTATGAAACCAGGCACGTGCCCTCACTGGGAATTGAGCTGACAACCCTTGGTGCATGGGAGGATGCCCCACCAACTGAACCACACCAGCCAGGGCTCAACCTTAATGACTTTTTATGGAAACCTTTCTAGGAAATATTACATGAATCCTTGAATTCTTTAACCCAGGATACAGAACATCGTTGATCCTATTCCTATTCACTCAGTGGCATCAATCATGAACATAAATGATATGATAAAATCTAATGATATACTCCAGGGCTAGTAAAATGTGCAGAAATGTCTATTGTTTCTTGAAATGACTGTTGCCTGTTCATCTGTCTCTGCTCTCTGCCACATGTCAGTTGTTGCTATAAGTGATCTCCCTGATCCTAAACTGCTAACTTATTTGCAGACTCTATGGGACTTGGACTACCTTACTGAATCAACTGCATGAGATTTATCACAAAATTAGCATTTTGCTCTTCAGAAGCATCTGAAGTATATTCCAAGGATCCTGGTTGTGTTGAACAGCTGAGATGAGCAAAAACCCTAACCTCCAAGTAATGTAACAACTGAAACTCCAAATCAGGTATGAGATCTATCAGCTAAAATGTATTTCCACAGAATATGACCTACTTATTAAAAATACAGGTGGAAAGGAACAAACATTTATTGACTATAAATGTTTGCTCTTCAGAAGCATCTGAAGTATGTTCCAGGGATCCTGGTTGTGCAGGCACAGTCCTAGGTCCGAAACACACATCATTACATCAAATCCTCACAGCAATTTAGCATGCTATGGCATACTTATCCCCATTTTACACATGGGAAAACTGAGGCTCAGAGAAGTTTAGCAACAGGGCCAAAGTTCATACCTTGTAAGTAATGAAACAGAGTCAAGCCCATGGTCTGTCCCTATTATGCTCCCTCTTTAAGAGCGTGCTTTGATTTATGTCTGCTCAATGTACCAACTGTTATCGTCTTAATGCTATAATTAGGACTGAAAATACTGCACACTCCACTTATCAGATAAGTATGCATTATTTGCTTTTAAAGAATTTCTGAAATACAAGTTTTTAAAGTTCTGAAACATAAATATCTACTTTTAAATACATAAAGATCGTGCAAATTGACTTGAAGTGGAAGAATGTGTGCATTTTGCAAACTAGTTCACCAGCTACAAATCTCACCGAGAAAATGTACAGAGCCACACAGCCTCCTATTCTCCCCTGCAACTGAATAAATACACACAGTGGAATGCTAAGGTAGTTATGAGTTAAAACTAGAAGCGAAAGACATGTAGGACAATGAAATTTGGCATTCAACCTGTTTCCTTCTTGGACCAGAAGTTGTGGCTGTATAACATGATAACCAGGCATGGTATGTAGTTTATTCACTAGCCTGTTAATAATTGTATAAAAGCCTTAGAACACTACCATACACCACTTATTTTTCAAAGTACTTCACAAATATTAGAATATTTTATTTTTATACTAACTCCATAATGAGGGTATCCTATTGTTATCCCCATTTTACAGATAAGGAAACTGATTTCCGAGAACTTACCCAAGGTTATACAGCCAAGTGATGCAACTGGGATTAAAAGCCAGGCAGTCTGGCTCTATAATCTGTATCACTATGACAAACAGCCCATTGGCAATATATTCTTGTCTTTATTTACCATCAAGACACACAAAGAAAATGTAGGGCATTGCAATTATGATCAGGCTACTCTCTGAAGATACCATAATATCATGGATAACTGAGAAGGAATCATGTATTTCTCAGGAAATGAATAGATGTCTTTTTCAGCCCAAAGTATGGTCCATTAGAACCTGTCCTTTACCCATGCCTCTTACTTGCAGAACTGAAATTACTTATGAAAGAAATCCCCTTTTATAAAAATGTACATCACTTATTTATGATTATTGAAATGGGATGCGGGGAAAGAGATGCTGGAACATACATGAGATTTTCTACAGAAATTATTTTGAATTTGACCCAAGATTTGAGAAACTACTCACTCATCTGGGAATATGCCAGGACTGCAATTAGACACAATGCAGCATCAGCTTTTCCTTTTAGATTAAATAGGCTTTCAAAAACACAAGGTTGAGTGATTAAAAATATGGTTTTAAGACCCTATACCTATTCTGGAACTATAGTAATAAAGCCAGCTTTGAATTAATTAATGATATTTACTTTTAAGTTGCTCTGATTTTGTTTCCAAGTCTTCTTCCCTGGGAGAGAAATGTGAAAATATTTCAGACCAGAGTGAAAACCAACACTTACATGCATGTTTATTAAACAGAAAGATAGTAATATTACAATGTGTTTATATCAGTATTTTTTAAATCACACTATACAAAACACTTGAATGTTTAAATTTAGCCATATGATCTCAACTTCTTATTGAGTATACTTTGCCATGTATCAACCCATTTTCATGAAACATTCACTTGATTGCCAAACAATCATGAAGCTGAGTGATAGTACACATAAATTATTTGTAGATGTGGTATTCATCTTGACACATAAGCATTTAATTAGATTGTACCTCACTGATTAACTGGGTCAAAAAGTTTTGAGAAAAATCTAAATTTAAGTAATAATTACAGCATTTATTTGGCACTTACAATATGCCCACATTCTTGTAAGCCCTACACAGGCATTTTCTTTTTCAAACCTCAAATCACCTCAAGAGATAAGTACTACTTCTATCCCCGTTTTAAAGATACGTAAGGTTACTATCTTGTGCAAAAGAAGAGGTGGTATTCAAATCTAAATTGTCTACTATCAGAATCTGTTTCTAACCACTATATAAAACAACATGTCTGAAGCATGTTAAGGTGCTAAAACGAAACAAACCAAAAAACAACTTCATCAAAATTCCAAACTTTAATCTTTCTGTTCTTCCTGTTTAATCTTTCTTTTTCTTTCTGCTTAATCATTCTCTTCTGTTTAAAAAGGGTGAGCCCCTATATTGTTATGCAAGGAGTCCAGATGTTCTGACAAAGCCCAGTGCCTGGTCCACTCAAAGACTAGGTCATTTAAGCTCCTAATTCTCAGGGCTGCTGAAAAGGCTGCCACCCACACAGGCTTTGTAGGTCTCTCTTCTCCATGGAAGGAACATACTTTATGTCTTTTCCTCCTCAGCAGGAGCCATTGCAAGGCACACTCAGGGAAAGGCTATTAAGCTGTTATGTTCTCTAAATTTTATACTTTCATTTACTTAAAAATGCATTATATGTTTTTAGGTTTATATAATCATATATATAAATATAAATTAGACTTACTGGCAATTACTATATAAAATCAATTTCTCAATAAATACTGATGTCCATCACTTTAAAGACATTTGATATAGAGATCTGAACTTATTTACAAAGGTAAATTAGGGATCTTCACTAACTAGCTGTACTAATTAATCCTTAGCAAATACATGAAGAGCTGAAAAAGGAGTATTTACAAAAGAAATGCATTTTTTTCTGAAAAGCAATGTAGATGAATTCATTCTTTTAACAATGTAAATATGTATAAATCTTATTGAGTGCCTATACTATATGCTAAGCTCCGAATTTGGTGCTAGGGATACAAACATAAATTGCACACAAACCCTTCCTTTATAGAGCTTAAATTCTATCAAGAGAAACACAAAACAGGAAATAACACTAAAGGTGAGACAAAATGAACAGGGACTTGTTATCACATAGCTTGACTATCCAACTGAACTGGGAAAAGGGGAGGAGAAGCAGGAAGGAAAATATTACCTAAAGGAGGTGGCCTACAGTAGGAAAATTGATAGAGGAGTAGGAGCTAGTGAAGGTAAATGAGAGAGGGAAGGGAACACTGTTCCTGAGAGAAACAGGAATTTAAGAAGGGAAAATGGGGAGACAGGGAGACTCCTATAGTTGTCAAAGTAATAGATATTAACTTGGATTAGGGAAGTGGCAGTGAGTGATAGCAGTGGGAATGGAAATAAGTGAGGTTTTTTTTTTTTTACCGATGAGAGGTGGGGCATGAGAGAGAAGGGGAAGCCAAAGGCCCAAGAATCATGGTGCTATTCACAGAGATGAGGAAAATAGGAAGAGCAGGTTTGCAAAAGAGAAGCAATCAGTTTGGGGTACGCTGAGTCTGAGTTGTCTATAGGAAATTCGAAGAGGCAAATTGTAAATGCAGGTTTGACTAGACTAGAGTTACAGATTTAGGAACTCAAACCACATTTTACCCCTCAGACAATGTTCTTCCATAACTTCCCTCTGTATTAAATGTTAATTCAACAAATACTGTTACATCCTGCTAGGTTCCAGGAGGCAACTGTGCTAGGTACAGAATTCTATTTGATACAAATTAATAAAAATAAAAGCAAAGAACAAAAAAAAACAGCTTAACTTATTTTATGAAAAATTAGCACTTATGCTTTGATTTGACCCAAACTTATATATCTGGCTTAGCAATTAAAAGTCTTGAAGAATTATTTGGAACTGATTGTTATAATCCCCATTACTCACAGAGCAATAGGGTAAAATGAATGATGTTTGTAGCATAAGTAATGCTTTGATTTAATTTATAAACCATGATTTATGATTAATAAAATCATTAATCAACCATGTCATGAAGCTGCCTTCTTCCTCATAAATGCACTAGACAGTCTTAAATTGCAGCAAATTCAAGCTACTCCCAACAAATAATTTTATTGTGGATGACACAAGAGTCTATAAAATGAAAAACAGCTTGATTTATTTTAATAGTGAAACTGTTTTCCTCTTATGAGTGGTCATTTGATGAAAGCACATAATCTACTTTTTATATAGTCATTTTCCAAGACTAAGTGTAATAGTGAGAGAATAATGGACAGTTATTATGAAAAAGAGAGAAAGTTAATTGTAGGCAGAATGCAAAAATGAATGCTGATCGTTTGAAATGCCAAAGTGATTTTTCACATACACAAACTCAGAAAATGTACTAGTGAAAAGTAATAAAGATGGGTACCTTTCAAAAAAATTTACATGCTTGAAAGAAAGTATCCAACTCCCACTCCAGAAAGGAAGTGTAACACCATTAACTAATAATATCAGAAATTAATGAAACAACACAAAGCAATATGCACTTTAGTGATTAAGGCAGTGAGTGGGATTTGGACAGTCTCTTTAGAATCCTGTTTCTCAACCCAAGGTGTGCCACTTCTGGAACCCCTTTCAAGGAGCTGAACTTTTAGAAGACTAAAGAAAGAAGCCTTAGTCGGATAGTCTTGTTTATTGTATACTTCTTATGTTCTACAATTTTTTTCACAAGAACCCTTTGAAGTCAATAGGTGTCAATGTTCCTATTTTACAGGCAAGGAAACTGAGGTTGAAAGGTTAAGGGAACTGTTCAAGGTCACACAGACAGTAAATGAATGCAGGAATCTAAGATCTTAGGAATAGCAACCTGTTCTATTTTCATTCTCAGTTATTGGTTTTTAGCCCCTTATTTTTTTTTTCACTTTTTCCCATATTATCATAGTCAACATTACTTATTTATGGGATTGGTCAGTTTTATTTGTGAGTATATTTTTATGTTTAATAATTATATAACTTTGATCATCTTAGCCTAGTTACCTGCTTTCTTCATCTCTTTTAAATATGATCCATACTGGAGCTGGGCTGGATTTTTAAACTCATTATGCCTGGCTCAAGCTTTCTATGAATTTCAAAATAGTTCCCATACATTAATAACGTCTCTGATTCTCTTAGATAAGAGAGACTGAATTTAGTCCTACATTCACCCATTCAACTTACTTAAGGCCCCAAAGCCAAATCACTCTCCCCTTCAAGAGGCCCCAGAGGCTGCTCAAGGGAAACCTTGGAGCAATACAGTCATCTTATTTCCAGAGTAGCTCAACAACATAGTGAGGATAATTATTTTATCTCACAGAATGTAGAAAGGGAAATGGATATTACATGACTGAAATAGGTCAACAAAGATTAAAACCAGAAAGTGGACTCTGTGACAGGCAAAATTGTTCTATTTACTTGCATTTATGTACAACAGACAAGCCATTCTATTATCCAAGCCATTTACTTACTAGAAGCTTATAAGAACCAAGTTATAGTTTATTGAGGTATATCGTGCATATGCGTGAGTATGTGAAGGCAGTATCATATGCCTTCCTTCTTCCACCTGCTGAAGAAAAGGGTGAATCTGATGCTGGTATAAATTTTCACACTCATTGCAAGTCTGGACTATTTAGTACAGATTTGTAACATCCTGTAGGAGTAACAAAGTAAATAAGAGCAGTAACATAAAAAATAAAAGAGGGAATGTAAGATTCTTTACCAGGTTTAGGTGAAAAAAAGGGTTCTTTAGGTATGATCGCTTTGTTGGAAGCAGGTACCTCAAACTGGATTGGCCTCACATGCTCATATTTCAGGTTCTTGAAACCAGCTTGTTGGTTCTCAAATACAGTTCGAATGCTTTCAAGCTTGAGTTGTACAGTCTGAATTTGAATCTACAGGTTGTATAAAAATTTTATGAAATATTTTATGAAATGGGATGATTACAAATACTATCAGATTTCTCAGACTCAAATAGTCCAAAACTTAATGTAGAGTTCAAAATATAACTAGAAAGAATTTAGAAAAGTAATGGAGATTAATGTATTATCTCCACATAACCAAAACAAATAAAAGAAAAATTCATCAAGCAGTCATGAAATAGGTGACCACATAAAGTGATTTACCCTTCATAAACAAGAAGGGATATTGCCTGGAAAGAAGGCATATTTAGCATCAGAAAGCCACCAAGTTAAGCACTGTGACAGCAGTTTGTTTCATTTAGTTCTCCATGTTGTAAAAGGCTCCTCCGAGCCATTATAAAGAATATCTCCCTCTGGCCTTCCTAGACAATTTGACACAGCTAAGCTTGGTGGCATCCAGAGAATGACTCGGTTATTGCCACAGCCATGTTTCTGTTTTTCTGGGGCACTCCCTAAGATCTACTGCTAAACACAGATTTAAATACTGTTCCAATCTTTGCATCAATTAGACATTTTAGCAGCAAATAGTATCACTAATAAACTTATCTACAATGTGAAAACAGTGCTTCATGACATCTCCAATGGGGTGGTACTGAACAAACCTAAAGCTCTCCACCCCACCAACAGCAACTTCCGCTTGCTCCCCACCCCCATCAAGAAGACCCAGATCCTTTCTTTAAACCTTCCTTCTCAAACTGAGTAGAAGCGATATCTGTATCCACACAGCATCTGTTGTTGGTTACTGCAGCACAAAGAAAAGATGTTTGGGGTAGGGTGATCTTGACATTGGCCCAATATTTGCCAATACAGCTTTGGTCTTTCTCCAAGGATGCACAAGAAAATGTATGTGAGAGCTCCTAGTATGTGAAAAAAGTTTAAAAATAATGGAGTCAGAGCTCATAAAGGAAATTACTCTTAATAGCAAGAATAAGCCTTTGGATTTTTTGAAGCTTAACAGTGACAGTGATATCACCTCTAATCCTGAAGAGCACTGTGTAATTGCAATTTGATATAAGTTAGCAGTGAAGTAATAAAACTCTTACAATACTAAACCTACGGTAGTTATAGTTTTTAAAAACGTGTTTACTTAAAAAGAAGCCTCTTATTTTGAGTTCAGAGGATAAAAGTACATCAAATTCATACTGTAGGGTTTTAGTAGCAAAGTTTATAAAGGGCAGAGCCATTTCAAGAAAATGTTCGATATCTTGGAGGGCTTTCTGAGCATTTTCTTTAGACTGAAACTTATCTATTCCTGATTAGCTAGAAGACATTCTCCTTCACCACAGCATTGAAGAGCCTGGTGAGCACACTACACACACACACACACACACACACACACACACACCATAACTATGAGTAAATGAAAACATATATGTTTGTCCCTTAAGACAGTATTTATCAGTTTATCAGTCCTGGCTTCTGTCAATCAGGGTTACTTTCAGAGTTATTAAAAATAAAGATATCTAGGTTGTGTCTCCAGAAACTCTGATTCAGTAGCTCAGGGCCATAAGCCTGGTATTTATATGTTTACAGAGCTCCACGGGTATTTCTGATGCACAACCAAACCTGGGAAGCACTGCACTCATTTCATAACAAGGAAATCATTCTGCAACAGAAGCCTGACCATTCTATCAATACTAATATTTGAGCTGCATGCTATTTTCCCAAAATCAATAACTGAAATATGAAACTCCTAGCAAAATATAAAGTATAGTATGAAAGCATAATGATTGCTCAGGACAAGGATAAAAGTTTCCTTGCCATAGAAGATGTGCAGATTAAAATGTTCAATCTCAGATATGATGCCTGTAAATGATCCCTATTTTTCATTCCACTGCCAGGAACAGATCTTATCTTCACTGCTTACCCATGAATGGGGTCAGACCCTCAAGCAATGGCAGAATATTTTCCAGTCACTTTAATTTTTTACTGCTATAACTATGAAATGTGGGAAGAGTTTCAGGTTTTATCAAAATGCCCCCCAAGGTTTTGTAAAGTGTTCTGTCTGCAAACTATCACTAGAGTAGAGGATTCAGAGATGTACCCAAAATAGAAAGAAGCCATCACAACCACAATCTCAGTATTTAGAACAGAGGCCTAAATTCTTATAATACTAACCTGCTATGAATTTTGCAGAGTTAATATGGATTAAATAAGCATAGTCAAACTCAGAGCTCTTGCAAATTCCAAAGCTATACCAGACCTTGACCATATAACCTCTGAGAAGGACCCAGGAAAAATATTTATCTTCCTTTTAAGAAATGTACCATGCCACATGACACTACCTGCTGTAGACGTTTATGCATTTCGAAGGTCCAGCTGAGTTGTATCCGTTTGTGTTTTGTCTCATTAACCAAAATATCAGAAAGATAATGTAGCTCGGTGCACCTCTGGCAGATCAAATCAAGTGCATAATGGTGATTTGATGTAAGTCTGTGTCCATGTAAAATCACATACTGGACCTTTGCTAACAAGTCCTGATTTTAAGAAAGAAGTAAAATAATAACTGCATGATCTCTGTTCAAAGAGAGGGGGGAATAATTAAGAAGCAGATTGATTGAGCAAGGAGATATTTTGCCAAAAATATGATTTGATATCATACTTTTACAGGCTGCAAAAAAAGCTGTTACAGTAATTAGCTATAGCAGTTTATATCAGAAACTCACACATTTCTGGTAATATAAAAATAAAACTATCCAGCCTCCCAGAATAGGAATGAGATTTGCTTCTTGTGGGTTGTACAGATTTAGAACAGAACCAAATTAAGTACACACCAGCCAAAGAAAGCTAATTGGTTTCACACATGTCAGCCTTGGAAATCCACCTGACACCTTTACAGATCTGAAGTGAACCTATCACAGGGTTTGCATGTCAAAAGGGATCTTAAAGGCCTTGCCTTCACATCAACTGCTGACTCGCCCCCACCATAGTGACTGAAACATAATAGGAGCTCAGGAAATGTTTGTCGACGTAAAATAAAGAAACCCGAAGCCCCATATGAAGAAGTGACTAGCCTATCCAGATACTGGGCAAACCAGGGTCAAAATATGAAGCAGTTTAATGGAATAGAATTCCAGTGTTGCAAGATGAAAAAGGTCTAGAGATCTGTTGCACAACAATGTGAATACATTAAACATTACTTAACTGTACACTTAAAATGGTTAAAATACTAAATTTTGTTATGTCTTTCATCACAATTACAACTGAAAATTATTAAAAAACAAAAACAAACAATAAAACCAAAGCCCCCTAGTTTCCAACCCAGTTTGCCTTCTTTTTCTACCCTACCATAGGGATCTGTAAATTGCCCCACAATCACAAAGATCTACAAGCACAATTCCAGAACTGGTCACCACAACTGCTACCTCTCAATTTTTGTTTCTTGGTGCTGGTGGTTCACCCATAAATCTATTTGTTTGCTGAAAACCCACCTTAAAAACCATGGCCTTGCCCTCTTATACAAAACAGGAGAGCAAAGCTAGGGTTTGTTAACTAGTAAAGCCATGAGTCTAAACTTTACGACTGGCAGCTAGCTCTTTCGAGTCACGTATCTCAGGTACTGTGCTGAGTGTTTTATCTACAACACCTAAATGAATCCTTAAAATCTACTCTGCAAAGTAGGTCCTTTCATCACCAATTTATAAATTAGGACATTGAGGCCTAGAAAATGTAATCAATTTAAGTAAGGTCACACAGCTAGTCAGATTAAGTAGATCTATCTATATGAATGTATGCTGGTTCAAATAGATATAACAAATGATGGATATTTATGGAATTATGTTCTTGTATGTTTCCCTTATTTCCAAGTACCCAGATAGGATTCTTGATAGACATTTTCCTAGCTTCTTCAAAATGATTTATGATCTTGTTCCCACTGGCAGGCCTAAAATATTTCACACCATTATCTAAGAAGCTTCCTACATGATATATGCAGTGTCACTTCAGGCCCACATTGAACAGAACGGAAAACTGACCAATATTATTGAAAAAATTATATAGATTGTTGCTGAGAGATTACCAGTAATCATAATAAGGCTTTCAACCACTGAAAAGCATCAAAATGTACTATTATACTCCATAAATATAATGAACATCTGAAATGTAATCTTACCTGAGAATTTTCATCTAAGTTTTCCAAATGTTTTATTTTTTGTTTTATATGAGCTATATTCCCTGTGACATCTGCCAACTCTGCTTGTTGATTTAATAGAAGTTCAACTTCACGCACAAGCTAAAAATAGTAATAAAAATTAGTCTTACAAGCAAATAAATTATTAAGCATTTCCCTTAATAATCAAGTTGTATAGGAAATGCTATTAAATAAGAACATCAATATGAAAAATTGCACATATGAAAAATATTTTCAGTTATTTTATTCACAGTAATTCATATAATCTGCTAAAATTTAACCTCTTAGATATCAGTGTGTATTGATTATTTATAAAATATCACTATGTACATATGAAAACATGTATATGTAGACATGTATGGAAGTATGTATAAATATATATACCTATACATATATATTCCCTAGCTCTATGGTGAACAGTTCTAGAAACAAAGACCCTTTAGTAGCAATGAGGACTCCTAGCATCCAGATGTTGATCTTTAACATCATTTCCCAGAGAAAGAAACCAGAGCTTCTAGAAAATGTCTGGTTCCAAGGATTGGACCATCTCTTTATGCTAGAAAGTAAAGAAATGACAAAATAATATTTGGTCATATCACCAGGACATGGTAGTTAGCTTGAAACACCAAAATAGTAAGAGCAGTAATAAATTATGAACCATTAAAAACCTATGAAGCCATGGACCCAAAAATATAGACAGATAGAGATAGATAGGTAGATAGATAGATAGATAGATAGATAGATAAGGAGAAGGGAAGACCCTTGCTTACAGTAGCATGCCTATGTGAACTGGTAAATGTGGAGGAGACACTAGAGAAAAAAAACCCCAGTATTTCACAACTATTATAATAAAGACTATTTAAATCAAGAAAGATCAATTGATATTAAACCTATGGTTATCTTTTGATGAGGAGCAAGATATTTGCATGGGCCCAGCCGCTGTGGCTCAGGGGTTGAACGTCGACCTATGAACCAGAAGATCACAGTTCAATTCTGGTGAGGGCACATGGGTTGTGGGCAGGATCCCCAGTAGGGGCCATGGAGGAGGCAGCCGATCAATGATTCCCTCCCATCATTGAAGTTTCTATCTCTCTTACCCTCTCCCTTCCTCTCTGAAATCAATAATATATTTTTAAAAGATATTTTCATGGCCTTAAATTCTCTCCCCACACATTTCCTATTAGATACAAGTGGAAAAAAGTAACTATACAGTGGAGAAATTTAATAGCACCCTAACTGGGTGATCAAAGTCTACATCAACAATGAGGGATCAGTGGACTTAATTTCCTCCAGATGTGATACCTTCAGAAGGACACATCACATATGCGATATTCTAGGCAGTCATACACAGATTAATCTAATCACGAGAAAATGTCAGACAAATTCAAAAAGAAGATTTTATTTTTAAAAGGACTGTATTATACTTTTATCTGTCTATAAGTTATTTTTTTACTTAATCCCTTCATCTTTTTCACCCAGCTCCCTCTCCCTCCCCTCTGACAGCTATCAGTCTGTTCCATGTATTCATGCCTCTGTTTCTATTTTGTTCATCAGCTTATTTTGTTCATTATATTCCACATGTCAGTGAAATCACACAATACAATATACAGATGATGTATTATAGAATTGTACCTCTGAAATCTATATAATTTTATTAACTAATGTCACCCCAATAATTTCAATTAAAAATAAAATAAATAAAAAGGACTCTATTATTAAAAATGTTAATGTCATAAAAGACAAGCAGACAGACCCAGAACTTCCAAGAGAAGGCCCAAGGCCCCACAGCGGCTTGCATTGCTTCACAGCCGAGCCTCATCAGGGCACCTCCAAACTCCAAAAAAGGAAGGGGAATCTGCAGTTCTCTCCGTAGCTCCTGCTGGGTAACCGCAGGCAGAGGCTTAATTAGCACCTCCTTAGATCCAAGAGCCACTGTACCCAGTGGTCAGAGGGGGACCATCCAGATTACAACTCCTCAGATCCATAAGGGACACACTCAGGGGGCAGACTCAGTGAGCACCAAAGCCCCATTGAAGCAAGTCTCACCCCATAATAGTGTCTTCAGCACAGAAGTTCTCCCACTTCAGACACAGCTGATTCTCACAGCCATTGGGCCGGGAGGTCAATTCCTCCCAGTGATCTTACAATAAACAAGGCATAACTACAACAAGACTGTGCACAAAGCCCACAACGGGGTGCACCAAGAGTGTCTACATCAGGTAATTGGGACACTTAGCACAGAAAGCCACTCTATCAACACAGCAAAGCATAAAAAATGTAGGACAAAGAAACAGGACACTAATGACAGAACTGGAGGAAAGCAGGCTGCTGTATATAGAATTCAAAACCACACTTTT